TGGTTTACATATAGTTAAATAATGATTACAGAGTGTACCACTAGAACGCCTAGCGTGGCTAGGCATTTCAGGCAGACTTAGTTTAATTCTTTATTTTAAAATATTACAAATTATGAGGTAAGTTGGTATTATGGCTAAGTGACTAAATACTAGTTTGTGAGTTTAGCAATGTGAATGCTTTTGTTTTGGCACAGTACATAGTTTCAGTATTGGAGTATCATATGATTCATTATTTTAAGATTGAGATTAATATTTCTGTTTATGGTCAAATGGGTGAGTGAGTGTAAGTGTGAACCACCAGGTGGTATTCGTGTAGTTAGTTGATGGGGTGTATCAGGGAGATAAGATGTTTTCTAATGGTAGTTTCGAAGGTGATGAATGTGTCTGCAGTTCTAGAGTTCTCAGGTAGGGTGTTCCAGATTTTAGGGCCTTTGACATACATTGAATTTTTGTAAAGGTTTAGTCGGACATGGGGAATGTCGTAGAGATGTTTGTGTCTGGTGTCTTGTGTCAAGGATATAATACAGACAGTCCTCGATGATGCACTGACTTTATTGGCTTATCCTGGATGGCTAACCCTCAGGGTTAAAAAAAATCCTGACAAAATTTTATCTGAATACAGAACACTGGATTATTATTATTATTATTATTATTATTATTATTATTATTATTATTATTATTATTATTATTATTATTAAGGGAGAGCTAAACCGGTAGGGATCATACACCACCTGGGAAATTTATCAGCATTGATCTAAGAAAGATGATAGCTCCATCTCTGATTCAAGTCTTTCATCAGCATCAAGGAAATCCCTCCCTCCCCATGGAGGGGTTGAGTCTTAGCTCCTGGTTCCACCCCTCAACTTGCTGCTTGCCAGACTCACTCTCTCCAAGGTTCGTACCTGCTCTTAAAACTATGTATTAAATCTGCCTCCACCAAGCGAAATTGCAAACCTGGAGAATATACAGAGAACTTTCACTGCATGTATAGGTACCATAGAGCACCTAAATTACTAAGAACCGCTGAACGTCCTTGACTTGTACTCCTTGGAATGCAGGCGAGAAAGATGCATGATAATATACACTTCGAAAATCCTAGAGGGACTAGTCCTAAATCTGCAGGGAAATCACTCTCTACGAAAGCAAAATACTCAGCAGGTGGTGCAACATCTTCCCAGTGAAAAGCAAGGGCGCCACGAGTACACTGAGAGACAACATAAGTGTCAGGGGTCAAAGACTGTTTGACTGCCTCCCAGCATACATAAAGGGTATTACAAATAGACCCCTGGCTGTCTTCAAGACCCCTGGCTGTCTTCAAGACCCCTGGCTGTCTTCAAGACCCCTGGCTGTCTTCAAGACCTCTGGCTGTCTTCAAGACCCCTGGCTGTCTTCAAGACCTCTGGCTGTCTTCAAGACCCCTGGCTGTCTTCAAGACCCCTGGCTGTCTTCAAGACCTCTGGCTGTCTTCAAGACCCCTGGCTGTCTTCAAGACCTCTGGCTGTCTTCAAGACCCCTGGCTGTCTTCAAGACCCCTGGCTGTCTTCAAGACCTCTGGCTGTCTTCAAGACCCCTGGCTGTCTTCAAGACCCCTGGCTGTCTTCAAGAGGGAGCTGGACACCTAAAGTCAGTACCCGACCAGCCGGGCTGTGGTTCGTATGTCGGTTTATGTGTGGTCAGCAGTAACAGCCTGGTTGATCAGGCCCTGATCCGCCACGAGGCCTGGTCAATGATGGGGGGCGTTGACCCCAGGAATATCCTCCAGGTAAACCACTTCTTATACAAATTTATTTTATACAGATAATGTAGTTTACATGTAATGAAATACTGTTAGGCGCAAAAGAAAGTCACTAGTATGTGGTGCACTTCTCGACCATCCTCAGACTGAAGAAATACTGCCTGACATCCCTGCGATTCATCTGTCTATCCAGATGTGCAACCTCTTTCCTGCCTCTCCAAGAGCCTATCCCTGTCTACTTTATCAATACCTCTGAGTATTTTGTGTGTGTACTCACCTATATGTGGTTGCAGGGTCGATTCACGGCCCCTGTGTGTACTCGAATATATGTGGTTGTAGGGGTCGATTCACAGATTCTGGGGCGTGTGTGTGTGTGTGTGTGTGTGTGTGTGTGGAGGGAGGCTGGGGCGCCGGACGGCCGCAGTCTGTCACTTCACAAGGAGGAACTCGACAGCATCACATAAACCAGCTACACTCCTCACCACTACAATATTCCCTTCATTATGCGTGTTTATTTAGGCCTTGTACATAATTTTAATCTTTACAATGGTTATATATAGTAAATAATATGGAAGTAATCCTAGGATAATCCAGTAAAATCAAACAATGTAACTTATAGAGCAAAGAATACATGGCCACACGTTACTGTTCTTCACTAGTACACATATAACTTCTGATTACTGGACCGAATTAAAGCCACGACCTTCCCCTCCCTCCTTGAAGAAAGTTATGGTGGACAAAATCTAGCAGTGTTTCAGGGTAAGCCAGAGAGGGACAAGTTATGCTCATATATTCAACAGTGTTTGAGGTGGGAGGATGGAATGGGGGAATGGTAGAATGGTTTCAAAATGACCCTTCCACTCTGGGCTTGTAGTTTATAAAAATTGTATGTAGTGATACCTGGGAGTGATTTGTAATTAATATTATATGTTTATCAGTGGATACCCTGATCGACAAAATTATTTACAAAGTTAGAACAAAAGCTAACTATAGTTCGCCCGAAATGCTCTGCATATAAAGGGGCTTTTGGTATGTACACCCAACTATTATATTCCTCTGTACAACCATGCAATTTGTCAAAATAAACATCCATCTTTATAATTGCCAACTCAGGCGGTAAACACATGAAAAAAGCGAGGTAATGAAATGTGTCAGTCTGAGGCGTGAGACTTCAGTAATGTGATGAGGCTATCGTCAAACATTCCACTATGAGTTCAGTATTTATGGCGTTTCTAAGTTTCCTCACAACAATACAAAAAATACCACCATCGCCAGCAACACAATAATAATGGAATTAAGGCCAGGTGTACCCAATACAAGTGGCCGGGACTTTCGTGCCGGCCTTGGGGATGTGAGGACGTCACTCTTGAATTTCACCTGGTTTGGGGTGTCCTAGGTAATTTACACTATGTATGATAATTGTATTTATGTATACCTGTGCCTAAATACAACTACTTCTTACCCTGGGGGGAGGGGTTGTCCTCATTATCTGCCCACGGGGCTATTGGTCGGGACGTCGGTCAGTTCCTAGGCCTACTGACAGTGTATTGTTGTTGACTCAGGTAGAGGATTGAGTGGGGTGTCTGGGTTTGTGTGGGTTTAGGCGAGGTGGTCCACCTGACCTAATTGGGAACGTCTTGTTCCGTATCTCATTCCGAAGAAAACTTTGTTTCCTTTATAATTCGCGACCATATGTGGACAAAATTTGTCCCGGAATATTGGCAAGTGTGATTGTAATAAGACGTAGGCTTTAGTGGCCCTTAACAACAACAACAACAACAACAACAACAACAACAACAACAACAACAACAACAACAACAACAACAACATGTGTCAACTAACTGTTGCCTATTATCACGATTTAGGTCATTTAATAAGTTCCCTCGTTAGAGAATTAGTAAAATGAGCGAGGTCACTATAACATGAGGTCATTATGTCATGAGTGATGTGATATCATGAGAGGTCATTATGCCATGAGTCATTATATCAAAAATAAGGTCAATGGCAAGGCTGGTAATGTCTCATTAATATTATGACTAAGCTCTTCTACCAAGTCGAGTGACATCATCACAAGACGGGAAACTGAAGATTGTTAACCTCGTTACTTTCTTTACAACTTTCTAATTTAGAAATGTATATTATGTAACATCTAATTCTAAATCAACCTCCTTTGAATTTTCTAATTAAGTAATGCAGTCTATGTCATCCTGGAGTGCTACAATATAGAGAAATTGTAAATAACTTAGTTATGACATACTACAAACAATTATGGTATACACAAACGAGGCTTCATAAGATTAATATGTGAATAATTGTGAATATTTGAATATTGTATTTTAGAAATTTATCTTATAGTTGAGTAAATTTATTTAGGCACAGGTGCACATAAGTACAATTATCATAGTATAAATTACCTAGGATAACCCCTCCCCCTCCAAAAAAAGGTCAAAGTTAATATAAAGGTAAATAATTTAATCCTTCTCGCCTTTCTCACAGAAGACAGTTTTTAGTGTCATATAATTTCAATAAAAATATATTTCTGTCATGATGTGCATGTTGACTGTCGTGGAATTATTGCAACAATGAATTTCCGTTCGACGTGTCTGGCGATGAGAAAAGTCGGTAATTTCAATTAAAAAAAAACGACATATACACAGATGCATATCTCTCAGTGTATAAACACTGAGAGTATATTGTAATCCCTAACAGATGTATTATAGTATTCTTCATGTTAGTGTAAAAGTAAATTGTAGGTTTTAATGAGCCGCATGTGGTGGACAAGGTTGAGAAGTGAGAGAGTAACTATGGCAGCCTAGCCTGGGCCACTAGTGTTATGTCAGGCATCTCGTAGTTTAGGAAATTCGTCCTCTGAACTGCTAATGTTGAGTGGTGAACTTTGTCTGGCCATTCATGCCTAATATCAACGCCTACACATTTTTCAGCTGCCCTCTACCTGTTTAGATTCTGTATGTTATTCATGTGATAGTGTATTATAGGTGTATTAATAATAACGGCGGTATATACAGAGAGGTTCGTTGAACACACCTGCAGTTGGTAGAGAACAGCTGTAGTGAGTTGTCAAGCGTTATTTATTGTACTCCAGTATAAGTCCCCTTCCTAGTCTCTTGCAATATATAAACTTCCAATTTAGTAAATAAGTTCATTTGCATGCAAGTGAACTCCCAGGCTATGCTCTCTGGACACTTGCGTATATTCCATGACCAAGTGAAAAGCATAACGGCAAAAAAAAGTATATATGAAAGTGAAAATGGCGGTGTGTGAGGGTGGGTTAGAGGGTGGGCGTAGGGGCAGCAGCGGGCAGCAGTGCCCACACACACTACCACACTCCCTCCACTAGCGGCTCTACCACCTCTTCGTCTACACTATATTCAACACAGGTCAGTGTTTCTCTCAACTAGCAGTCAATAGGTAGTTAGGAGTCAATCGGCTGGTGTGGGGTCGCATCATAGAGGATAAGGACCTGGAGGACTCCTAGTTGAAGCAAGCCACATTGTTTGGTTCTCTTGGATTTATGTAGGGTAATAACCCTCTGGCGGCTAATAATTCCAAGAAAGTCTTTCTTTCAACACATCAGATACTAGGGCATCATACAAGGTAATCCTATCAACGACTCGTACTATGTCTCCAGTGAGTTACACATCACTGGTCATGTACACCCAGAGGTGTAAATCTCCCTCCCTGTATGTAAACTGAAAGGTGTGTACATGTTTATACACTGTGTGTGTGTGTGTGTGTGTGTGTGTGTGTGTGTGTGTGTGTGTGTGTGTGTGTGTGTGTGTGTGTGTGTGTGTGCGCGCGCGCGTGTGTGCGCGCGCTCGCGCTCAGAACCCCTGAAAAAGAAGCTAAATTCTTATCGCTTTCGCGACTTCTCACATTATCAAGGAACTATATGGTTCCTTATAGTTCCTTGATAATATAAGAAGTCACGAAAGCGCTAGGAATTTCTCTATTTTTTCACAGTGGTTGTTTTGCATATTGTGATATCACCTGTTTGCTGTGATCTTATTGTGTGTGTGTATATATATATATATATATATATATATATATTATATATATATATATATATATTATATATACATGTAGAGAGAATGGAGCGAAACAGAGTGACTTCAAGAGTGTATCAGTCTGTAGTGGAGGGAAGGCGGGGTAGGGGTCGGCCTAGGAAAGGTTGGAGGGAGGGGGTAAAGGAGGTTTTGTGTGCGAGGGGCTTGGACTTCCAGCAGGCATGCGTGAGCGTGTTTGATAGGAGTGAATGGAGACAAATGGTTTTTAATACTTGACGTGCTGTTGGAGTGTGAACAAAGTAACATTTATGAAGAGGTTCAGGGAAACCGGCAGGCCGGACTTGAGTCCTGGAGATGGGAAGTACAGTGCCTGCACTCTGAAGGAGGGGTGTTAATGTTGCAGTTTAAAAACTGTATTGTAAAGCACCCTTCTGGCAAGACAGTGATGGAGTGAATCATGGTGAAAGTTTTTCTTTTTCGGGCCACCTTGCCTTGGTGGGAATCGGCCAGTGTGATAATTAATATATATATATATATATATATATATATATATATATATATATATATAATATATATATATATATATATATATATATATAATTATATATAATTATATATTATAATACCGGTGAGAATATTTTAAGGGTCTGGAGCTGAGATTCGATCTCTGCCACAATAACTGGGCGAGTAGAAAGTGCAGACACACACATAACACAAGACAAAGTTAAGAAGAGACAAAGAGCAATAAAGATTAACATAGCAACCACCAGCCCCTGTCTCCTCTTTAAACAATAATTCATTACTTAAGTTACTTAATAAAACCATCATATACCTTATCACCCTGTCAAAAGCGTCCATTATAACCCTTTGCTTATGTGTAAACTGTATGTGCAAAAACTTTTTGCTTTAGTAGAGTGTGTATCAGCTTTACTGTACGAGACATTAGACACTTGACTAAGCCAGACTGGCTGGCATTTCCTGACCCTCGAGTTAATGCCAATTATTTTCCCTTCATTATGACTGGTGGTTGTGGACAGGCTAGGCTCCTACTAGCCAGCTCTGCCCAGATAATTACATCAAAATTAGTAACTTATTTATAGTAAATATGAGTAGTGATTAATTTGTTTGCTTATTATAGATCAAGTGTATTACTATTTAGCCGTAGTTTAAATGAAAGGTTCCTATTGTATCATTAACGTTTATGACATCTTGCCCACCCAATTATTTAAATTTTGATTTGTACTCGTAAGCTGTAACCAGATTTTTATATAATATACCTATCGAACCTATCAGTACCTTGTGATCTAAGCTCACCAGCTTAACCACCTCCATAACTATTAATTTATAGTACTGTATTAAGTAGTTTCAGTCTTAGTATAAGACTGTGCGAAATATTTCACATATGACTTTTCCTCAGAACTCTGTACCATTTGTACGCATTTTCAAGAGAAAATAATTATTATATTTATTACTCTGGGGTAGATGCAGCTTACTGTGGTGTAGCTTCCAAATTACTGGGGCAAAATTGAAAAATTGTAAATATTGATCAGCTGATGGTAAAACACCACGAGAGACGAATAACACATTAGGGCCTCCAGGTGTTCTATTAGCCTGCTGGAGAGCCAAACAAAGCTGTGAGCGAAACATAGAGTGATGTCATCACGCTTCTGGCAAGACAGTGATTGAATGAATGACGGTGAAAGTGTTTCCTCTACTTTCGGATCACAACGACGGTGGGAGACGACCGGTGTGTTAAAAAGAAATTACGGTGGTCACTTGCGGTCAAAAATATGGTGGAAAACTTAAGGAATTTTAGGAGTTAATCCCTTCATGACAAGACTTTTCTCTGAAAATTAAGAGCACTGTAAAGTGTCCTTAAAAACCTTGATGCCGGGGAAAGGACCGTGATTTAAAGAACTAGAGCTATCCTCCTTTACCTTGGATCGAACCTGATTATTTCCCAATCCCCAAGCGATGTGTGACTCCCTGTGGGCTTATAGAAAAGCGTAGAAGTGAAGAGGGCGTGATTAAAATGTTTACATAGAAGACATTAATAAATGAAGAGGAGATGAAGATAAAAAAGATTTATTTTGATTTTTAACCCAGAGGGTTAGCCACCCAGGATAACCCAATAAAGTCCGTGCGTCATCGGGGACTCTTATTTCCATTGTGGTCCATTAATCTTCTTCCCCAGGGTGTGACCCACAGCAGTCAACTAATACTCAGGTCCCTACTTTCTGTTAGGTGAACAGGGACAGCAGGTGCAAGGAAACTTGCCCAACGTTTCGCCCATACCGGACAGCGATCGCTGGTCCCTCAGTGTGTGTGAGCTGAAGAAACTATTAACCTGGCACTGTATTCAAACTGGACAAGTTGAGATTTAATAACAAGTACTTTAGATAACTTTAAAAAGAGGTTACATATGCATGTGAGAATGGTTGGGTGTGAGTAGGCTCTGCTTCTCATGGGCCATTAGGCCTACATCAGTGCTGTTTGCTTATATTTTAGTGGAGTGCGTACACATGTATCAGTAGTGTGAACGCGCGTACCCATATCGGGTGGTGTGAATGCGTACACTGCTGTTAGGTGGTGCAAATGAGTTGTCACAGTGTACCATACATGTGCAGGGCAATGTTCCCACTGTGAGTTACGTTGGCTGGCGTGTGTTCCATCACGTAGAGACCAAGATGGATAACTAACGCCTTAGTACTGGGAACCTTTCCTACGTTGGTAAAGTTCTACCCTTGCACTCTGTAGGCCTAAAACAAAACACAAAAAAATGTATTCAGATACAATAAAAAAAGTATACCACACTTACCTCACTGGTGTGCACTTAAAACACATTTCTTGTATACATGTGTACTAGTGATGGGCAGTGCGGTAGGCATTCTCCTTGTATTTCATGATTACGAGAAAATGTAAACCACACACCCATTACCAAGTAAAAATCAAAAGTGGTTGGGCCACTTATCTTTGATAATCCTACTCTCCCGCACACCTTAATCCATGTGTCCCTATCCTTCTTCCTTCCCCTCTTGACAAGTGCTCTGGTGACATTCAGATTATTAACCATCCAGGTTAACAACCTGGGTAAGTCACGCTGTGAGACTCATTTACCATTGGGGTCCTCTGGTCCTCTTACCTTAGGATGCGACCCACAAGAGTGGGCTATAGGCCAGGTACTTATTGATAGGTGAACAGTGGCAATAAACGTGAAGAAACCTACCCATGTCTCTAGATGCTCGAAAGCCTAGCCAGGATCGAACCCGGGTCCTTTGGTTGTGGGCCGATGACGCTGCCACGACCAATTAATGAGAATAAGTGATATGACTTTTAATGGGGCGCCTTTGGAGATAGACATTATGTCATGTTAAAGAGATTGGTTTAATAACCCAGAGTTAATAACCTAGGGATACTTTACAATGTGGTTTATTACCGTTGGTCCTGTCTTCTAAGATGCGACTACAGGAGTGGACTAAAGCCCAGTAACTTATTTTATTAATAGTTGAACAGTGCTTAGGAGGCATACCCTGCTTCTCGACTTTCATGATGATCGAGCCTAAGTCCTTTCGGTTGTGAGCCGAAGACGACGTTGTGACGAGGGTTGAGCGGGGAGGGGGGAGGAGGTTACGCCAGTTCGTGTCCCACTCAGTGTAAGTTAAAATCTAATGCACTTTCCGTACCCTAGCTAGCACTGAACCCCCATCCTGTTATTATGCCACCATCCTGCCACTTCATTCCTTGTGCTCTCACATACAGGCAGTACCTGTGACTGGTGTCGAGGGTTCTTCCTTCGTAGACCAGCCTGAGGTCCGGCTTCATAGTTACGGGAGTAGAACTGTGTTGTGGTATGGATCATTCCTTGCACCTTATTGGGCAACGATTTTTTTTTTTTGTAAACGAGAATGGTGTCAGTGGGTAGTTACCTTTACGTGGCTGGGGGATTACGAAGAGTGATGACTCCCCCATGCCTAGTTAGCGCTTTCTTTATCCAGGTAATGGACTGCATGAATGACAAAACAGACCACCAGTGATACCAATGTATTTCCCCTGAATGATAACCTATAACCCCCTATTCCCCTCACCTGAAGCTGTAACGTCAGTAGGCAATACGCTCTGGTGGGTTGATAAGAGGTACGACGGGACGATTCACTGCTGACCCAGCTGAATAAATTGATTGTTGTTTAATAACTAGGTCAGCAAGCATTATAGCATGCTTCCTTTCAGTTCTTTGGCTGCTACATGGCTCCTGTTAAATGTGTTCTACGTGTATGGGAATGTAGAGTTTTTATTGTGCATTATTATTATTATTATTATTATTATTATTATTATTATTATTATTATTATTATTATTATTATTATTGTTATTATTATTATTGGGGAAACGCTAAATTCGTAATGATATACAGTGCCTGAGGTATTGGATTCAGTGTGCTGTTTACGTTCTTCAGAGTTAAGTCGGATATGTAGTGGTAGATGAGGGAGGAAGTGCACGATAAACCCAGGGACGTCGTGGGTGTCATAAGAGAACATTGTATCAACATCCGTGGTCCCCAGACTATTCAACATCTTACCAGAAAATATCGGAAACATTGCTGGGATAAGTTTATAATTCTTCAAGAAGAAACTGGACAAGTATCTCCACCAGATGTTAGATCATCCAGGCTGCGATGGATATGTGGACCAGTGGGCCGCCAGCTTCAACAGCTTGGTTGACCAGGCAAACAGCAAACAAGTCTGGCTCCGGGAGTAGGAAAACTCTCGAAGCAAATCAGAGGTATATCAGGATTCACTGTTATAGATACCAAAGGTGACATAGTTACGTGATGTTTTAATCAGCCATTTTAAAATTTACTGAAATCTACAGTACCTAGTAAGTACGTAGCGCATAATAAGTATTAATAAAATTTAAATCAGTAAATAAATCTTTCCCCTCTGGAGTGTCCTTTCTTCTGGAAATTCAGATACTGTAACTGTACTGTTGTGGGTCAAATCCTGAGGAAGGACCAAGGGATCTCAGCAGAGGTCAGATTCTCTTCGCTCATTTCCCACCATACAAAACTTATCTTTTCCATGGATATTAAAACAGTTGTCGACGAGTTCCTTTTTTCGAAACTTGTCCTCGATGCTGTATGACCCTAGTGGGTTTAGTGCTTCTTTATTATAATTTTGTCCTTTGACACACCTTATATAAGCAGTCTATTTCAGCCATTGACAGCCTCAGAGAATAAAAAGACTGGAACAATACACTGATAACTGAAACATCAGGGTAAGTTACTTTCTGTTTACATGTTACTTGTTCCTTGTGTATATAACTTTCTTCAAGGCGGACACTTTAGTGCTCATGAAAGGCTCTTGCTCATGACATTTTTATAGAAATGGTTATGAATCGCAATTTTCCTATACGATGCTCATTTTTTCCTTGGTTTTAATATGTTGCTGTTGGTAAACTTTGCGACAGTAGGTAAACACTACTGATGGACGGAATAAATTTCATGGATGGCATGTTTGTTTACAAAATTTGCCTTCATCTAGTATTAATATTTTTGTTTTTCCTTTTCAGATAAATCTGTACTTATTTGAAAAATATGTTAATTTGAAGCCTTGAAGTTTAACATTCAAAGAAAATGGATATTCTATAATTAATCGTAGTTTCTTTAACATTCTCCAGTAATGATTATAGTGATGAGACATGCATTGAATGATTGAGTTTTATTCTTACATAAAACGGAGTGAATTAATTTATAATCATAAGTATAGAGGAGGAAAAATAGAAGTTGAGAAAAAAAACAGGAACATCGCCATGGGTCGATTTATGAGGATCTGCCGTCTGCTCCCAGTCATGTTAAAGCGCTACTGGTTTGTGGTGAGTATTTCCTTTTTTTGTTTATTACATTAGAAAGTTCTTATACTATCAGAAGCATCAGGCGTTGTAGAATTATAGACCTAACAAGGTTTCGAAATTTTATATTTTATACATTCAGTGGCCACTTTATTAGGTACGGCCTTATATTACTAGAGAGGTCTCCCCTTTTATCCCCAGAAGTGGCTGAATACTTCGGGGATGAATTCAACAGTGTTAGATACATTCCTTAGCAATTCTGGTCCATGTTGGCATGATAGCATCACTCAGTTGTTACAGATTTGTTGGCTGCACATTCTACCACATCCCAAAGGTTTATGCCAAATTCTGACCCATCTATCTGCATGTCTGATTAGAAATTGCGATTCGTCAAACCAGGCGACGTTATTCCAATCTTCGACTGTTTTTGGCGAGCCTGTGCCCACTGTAAACTTAGTTTCTTGTTCTTAGCTGACATGAATGGAACCCGGTGTGGCCTTATGCTGCTTTAACCCATCCACTTCAAGGTTCGATGTGTTGTGCATTCATAGATTCTGTTCTGCTTACCAGTATTGTAACGTGTGGTTATTTGAGTCGCCTCCCTGTCAGCTTGAACCAGTCTGGCCATTCTTCTCTGGCCTCTCTAATTAACAAGGTGTTTTCACTCACAGAACTGCCGCTCACTGGATGTTTTGTGCTTTTTACAACCTCCTCTGTAAACTAGAGACTTGAGTGTGAAACTCCCAGAAGATCAGCAGTTTGTGAGCTACTCAGTCCCCTCCCCCCGTCTGGCACCAACAATCCTTCCACGCTCAGTCACTTACTGAACCTTTATCCCCATTTTGATGTTGGGTCTTAGCAAGTGAACGTTTTGACCATGTCTTCATGCATTTAGGCATTAAGATGCTACTACACGATTTGCTGATTACATATTTGTATTAAAGAGCAGGTGTACCTACGAACACCTGTATTTATATTTTATATTATTATATATATATATATATATATATATATATATATATATATATATATATATTATATATATATATATTATATATATATATATATATATATATTATATTATGTATATATATATATATTATGTATATATATATATTATGTAAAACTGGTCAATTAGCAAGAACTCATTTAAAATTAAGTCCTTTCTGAAATTTTCTCTTATACGTTTAAAGATATATTTTTTCATTAATGTTAATGTAAAAAAATTTAATTTTGCACCAAAAGAATCTTAGAAATCTTACCTAACTTTATTATAACAACAGCAATTTATTTTAGCCTAACCCAACTAAATATATTTTAGATTTGTTTACAATAATTTAATACTAAACAAACACAGTGAAATATATTTTTTTCGTTAGGTTAAGAATGATTTTGGCGACATTATTGCATACACAAATTTTCGCTTGTTCTGTATGGCAAGATGAGCCTTGCTATTTAAGCCAAGATCGCAAGTTCTGCCTATTCGGCACGATAATATATATATATATATATATATATATATATATATATATATATATATATATATATATATATATATATATATATATATATATAATAATATAATTTGTAGCGTTGCCCTGCACGTTTTAGTCTGTGCTGCACAATGGTAGCTCTTGGTCTCTGCCAGTAAATATCTCAGCAGTGCTGAACTATATCGGTGGTGGATGTAAGTGTTTATTAGGTTGATTATGGTTTGTTATCCTTTCCAAGTTGCGGAACGAGATGTGTAATCTAAGTTTATCCAATATGAACATATTTTTGATGGTTCTGTCTCAGCTTGATATTTTTGCTTTATGTTTTTCACATCGGGTTTGGTTAAGGTCTATATTTAGGTCAGTGCTGCTGCTCTGGTTATTTTTCTTACCCAAGAATTAAGAGCTTGCATTTGCTCGCATTGAACTGCATAAACCCTGCCTTCAAAGGCAGTGCCTTGATGTCTGGTTGCAGGGGCAGAGGAGCCCTCGAAATCTGTCATTAGATTAATTTATATATATATATATATATATATATATATATATATATATATATATATATATATATATATATATATATATATATATAATATATATATATATAATTATATATAAAATCATTCTAATATATAATAGCTGGTGAGTGGCAGCTGCCACACTGTCTATTTTCGTTTCCTCAGAGCACTTTCTTGTATTGCTGTTTATTCTCTCGTCTGATCATTCAAAGATTGTGTCCCCTCCCCCTCACAGCCTCTCCTCTCCAGCAAACCTATAAAATAGTTTTCTTTTATAATCAACCCAGACTATTTTAACTTATAACAGACTTGCTAAAAATTGACGCTGTTTGCAGTATGTATAATTTATCTGTTATATTTAAGAAATTACATAACTATATCTTTTCAATTATGTTGAGCATGATTTGAAGTGATTATAGAGAGCAGCACATGACCCAGTTGTAACTCAGGTGCAGCTTTACTTTCAGCTAATACCTAATTACATTTTATCTCATTTATGAAGACTGTTGAGGCTGAGGGATTGATTACCTCACTCTTTCTCATCGTCCACCGTATTGGACTGAAGAAGTCATTGGCTGCCGAAACATTTCCTCATTAAAGATTCACAGATATTGTAGAAGTGTCTCAGTGACAACATATTCACTATATACTGTGATTTTTTCCTCTCTGTATTAGATTAAGCTTACTCTAGCGGGTAAAACATCTTCTACCACAATGTTTTAAGATGTTTCATGTGTTTAACAGCCTGGTTGATCAGGCCCTGATCCCCCACGAGGCCTGGTCACAGACCGGGCCGCGGGGGGCGTTGATCATCCCCCCCAAACCCTTTCAAGGTATATTCAAGTGTCTTTATTCCTAAAGGGTTCGGTTCTTCCCCATGATGATTTGCATGGCATTCTCTACTCTTGTTCAACACTTCAAGTAATGTTGAGAAAAATAATCATTTAAGCTTTTCAAGTTGTATTTAGGACATGGATATAAGTCACTTTGACTTTCTGGGTTATCCTAGGTAATCTACACATATGCTGCTATATGTGATAATTGATGTAACTGTATTTGTGTACCACTGTATTTATGTGTACCTATACCTGAATAAAACTTACGGCAGCTACGTTAGTTGGCAGTGTTCACTGCTCCCTATTTTGTAAGAATATAAACAGTATAATGAGTACCGTAGTAGACCTATTGCGCAATTCTAGGCTAGTCCAACTCTAGTCCATCCACTCGCACTCCTGTAAGAACCAAGGAATACAGACACTGCAGCAGGTTCTAGACTAGATGGTACATTGATGTGTGTGTGTGTGTGTGTGTGTGTGTGTGTGTGTGTGTGTGTGTGTGTGTGTGTGTGTGTGTGTGTGTGTGTGTGTGTGTGTGTTAGGTGGCCACTGCAGTATTATCAGGGCGAGTGTTGCCAACTACGCTCTGGCCTTGTTGGCCCTGCCTTTGTAGTTTATTGAAGCCGTGCTATGACAAATGGCGGCCGGTGTCCTGTGGGTTTAGTTATTTCAATACTTGTGTAGCGGTGCCTAGTCTCTCATTACTTGATTGCTTGTTCATAGCTACAAGAGCAGAGCTATATACTCGAGGCCTCTCCTCATCACTGTTTGTAGCTACAAGAGCATCATAATTATGGTCGTGATGTCTCGTATTCATTATTTAGCTACACCAGAGCACCTATATCGGTGTCCCGTCTTCAGTATCATAGATTAAAATAAAAATTACAATGTAGCGCTTACTACATTTTGTAACCCATTTCCTGGAGATTTCCTAGAGGCACCTCTGGAGGTCACCGCCCCGGCCACCAGGCAAGCCTCCTAATTGTTAGCCTAATCAATCAAGTTGTTAGTGCTAGTGCAGTTAAACGTGCACAGCAACCCTGTTAATTATAAAGTGTTACGAAGAATCTGTCGAGCTTCCTCTTGAAGACAGCTAGGGAAGTTGTTGGTAATTCCCCTTATGAAGAAAAGCCGCTGAAGAGTCGGTCACTTTACATTTATTGAGTGCCGTCTCAGTGTACTCATCGCTCCCCTGCTTTTCGTTGAAGGCGTCTTGCACCGTTTGCCAAGCCTCTTGTGCTCATGAGTAGTAATTTCGGTGTGCAGGTTTGGGACCAATCCCTCTAGTATCTTCCAGGTGTGGATTATGATGCGTCTTTCTCGCCTACGTTCTAAAGAGGACAGCTCTATGGACTTAAAGAACTCCCAATATTTTAGGTGCTTGACTGAGTTTACACGAGCTGTGATTGATCTCTATATTTTACAACTCAGTAATTTCGCCTGCCTTGAAGGGGGCCGTTAGTACACAGCAATATTTCAGATTAGAGAAAATGATTGACCTGAAGAGTATCATCATTGACGTGACGTCTCCTTTGAACGTTCTAGTTATCCAATCTATCATTTTTCTTGCAGCTGCCACAATATCATTGTGCTCCTTGAACGTGAGATATTCTGACATTATCACTCCCAGGTCTAACACTTGACGTATGCTCTGTCGAGTGGTTTGAGTTTGTCGTGTACTCCGATTATGCTCTTATTTCCTCCATTCTTCCGTGACGTAGTAACTGAAATTAGTCCTCGCTAAACGTCATGTTGTCAGTAGCCTACTGGAAGACTAAGTTTAAATCAGCTTGTGGAAGGGTGGGGGACAGAACTTTTCGTTGTAACACTCCCTCATTTTACTCCGTTGTAGCTTCTTGTTCCCCTTGTTGATGTTTCTAAGAAATCTTTCTTTTTCTGGATGAAGACACGTTTGTTCAGTGTGGCATTGTTGCAGAGCTTTGTATATAAGACATTCACAGTTGAACTTGTAGGCTAGGAGTTATGCTCAGCTCATTTCGAAAGTCAGGCCTTATCTAAGGAATATTACCATCCCATGGATGACACAACAGTCGACTAACCAAGTATCTGTGTGCTGCTAGGTGAACAGGGGCAGCAGGTGTACGAAGACTTGCTCATACATCTCGTTCTGCCTTGGGGTCGAACCCAGGATTCTTATCTGCATGGTGTAACATGCAACA